TAATCAAAACTCGGGATGCTTGGCAGCTGGCTCACCTTTACGACGGTTGCAATGTTCTCCCCAGGGTCAGCTGATGCCCCCCTTTTGCGACCTTCGGACAAGGAAAGTCAACGGGGAAGCCAGGTTCACTTAACAACCTTGTTCCTAATTTTAACAACCGCAGCGCTTCGCTTAACAACTGTGCAAGAAAGGTCGTGAAATGGGGCACTTAACAACTGTCTCACTTCGCCACCGAAATTTGGGGTTGTAAGTCAAGGATTACTTGTACGTGAAGGTAGGACCAGTGAGTATCACACCTGCCCGAATTGTTTCCGTCTGTGTTCTCAGAATGTAAGGGCATGTGTGAATGACCTTGGGAGAGGAGGGGGAAGAAATGCTTGCTTGCACAATATTGAAAAAATGAGGAAACTCCTACGGATGAAAATTTAAAAAATACTAAGTCTGCGGAAATGGATAGCTCGACATTAAACATAAAGGACAAAGAAGATACAGAATATTTCTTAAGATGGGATTCGTTCTATCAGTGGCTAGATTATAGAGGTAGCAATTAGAAGGTGTAAGATTATTTATTTCATTTTATTTGTCAATAGCTTACAAGATAATAAATGTAAGTATAAATACAGGAAATGGGTACGAATAATTGCGGGCAATAGGACAGGGACAGTAGGCACGACGGTGCGCTTATGCACGCCCCTTACAGACCTCTTAGGAACGGGGTGAGGTCAATAGTGGTTAGTTTGAGGTTAAAGGAGTAGGAGGTTAGAGAATGTAACAACAGAGTCAGATAGTGCATTTCAGGCATTGACCACTCTGTTGCTGAAGTCGTACTTTCTGCGATCAAGTTTGGAGTGATGTACATTAAGTTTATTACCATGTATCAGAAAATGATGAAAGATTATTACCGTGTATAAGTTAACAAACTTGCTGCTATTATTACATATAAGTAAATTGACTCAGACAGTGCACTGTTCATTAAGCACTTATGCATATTAAAGAAAAACCTATAAATAAATTTTAAAAAAGAAAGCCAGCGGTGGGTAGTTTGTACCTTCAGACACTTGCAAGGTTCTGTTAATGTAGCCTTGCGGTGAAGTAGAATTAGCTCCTCTGGTCGTGTTACCTGAGAGGGCCGATGTCAGGGCTCCAACAAATCCATCCCCATTCAAATCATAAGTCTCTAGCCGCATCTCTCAAAGTAAAAAAAAATGGATTTATTTGGAGTGACCATGTTGGCGTTGGCTGGGTGCAGCCGACACTAAAATACACCATTCATTTCCCCCTTGACCCTGGTCTTCCTCCTACCCCCTGGACGTATATTCTCCAATGGGACACATCCATAGCCAAGAGCCATCAGTCATGCTCTCCAGTAATATTCTTGCGCGCCCGACAGTTTTGGGCTGCCAAGGCGATTATCGGAAGCATTTCAGGAATGCACCACTTTCCCTCACCCCCTTTCTGCTGGCAACTAAAAAGACCAAAGAAGTATTCATTTATTTATTTTAGTTGACAGCCGACACTGAAGGACCGGTGGCAAGGGGTGGGGTGGGGTGGAGTGAGGTGGAATTCAGTCATCTTCAACCAAGACCTCCGAGCTCACCCAGAGAAGCCATGATGAAAACCAGGTCCGTTCCTCTTGAGTCTCCTTGTTCCAGAAGAAGGAGCAAGCCAAACCGAGACAGGCAGCTGTTAGGAAGTCCCCTGCTTCCAGAACGTATGTGAATTAACACCTACATTGTCTGCCTCTGTGTGTGTGTCTGTGTGTGTGTCGTTTCAGGTGCTCTCACCGTTGGCCTTGTGCGACAGTGTCAAACCATTCATGGACGTGACAGGACCTGCATTCCTCCACGGCTGCCTCCAGAGTGGATCACGACTTTATTTTTTATCATCATGGGAATCATTTCACTGACTGTCACCTGTGGCTTGCTGGTGGCTTCTCACTGGCGACGGGAAGCAACGAAATACGCGCGCTGGATAGCCTTCACTGGAAGTAAGGCTCTCCTCCACTCAGCAGACCAAAGAGGGCAGGTTGCGCTGGGGGGGGGGGGGGGGAAATCAGCCCGGAATGGCTCACCTCCATCCCAAGGATTTCCCTGGCTTTCCACGGAGATCTTCCCTGCCCATTCAGAAACCCGCAGCTCCTCCTCTTTCTCCCAAAAGCCTGCAGAGACAGCCATGGCTTCTCCGCAGCGACTGTTCTGACCTAGGCTTTCACAAAATCACGAAGCAGGCTCCTCGTCCCGACAAAACCCCTTTTTATTAGGCTAATGTGAATCCCTCTCATTCACATCCAGTAAAGTCCCGGCAAAAAAGTCTTTCAAGGGTGAATTACAACCACAGACCTTATCAGGCTTGGAGAGTTGCCAGGCCATTAGCTCCCAAACGCCACGCTATAGCAGAAATTACTTGGCAAGGAGTCAGAAACAAATCTTCACAACTAACTAATTGTCTCCTGCAAACCCCACTCCCCTTTCGTTCCTCTTTATTCCCTCTGGGAGGGACCATTCACCGTTCACCTGTGCGTTTATTCCCGAGTCAGCCCTAGTTCCTTAATTCTTTCCTTCTCCTGGCAGCTCTGTGCATGTGCACACTGGGAACAGGCTCCAGCTGTTCTTCTGCCCCACTGATGTCAGACTCTGAAGATAGCTGATAACTGTCAGACGGCCCTGGCCCCGTCTCTGCCTCTGATGCAGAGCCTTCCCCAGACTCCAGGACTGGCCTATGAATTCTGGGAGTTGAAGTCCACAAGTCTTAAAGCTGTCAAGTTTGAAGACCCCTGGCTTAGTGCTTCATTTGCAGTGTTCAACTTCTGCTTTCTCCAGGTCCATGTTCCCCTTCAAATGCTGGACTCCCAACTCCCATAATCCCCAACTGGGCATCTCTGGGGTGTCAAGAGTTATGCTCTGAAGGCTAAGAGCAAGCTCTTAAACACCCTCTAGCGGCTGTTTGACATCCCATTAAACCAAAGTTCGTTTGCCTTTAGAGTTGGGTAGTCCTCCACTTACGGCAACAACGGGGACCAAAATTTCCGCTGCTAAACAAGACCGTTCTGGGAAGTTGAGGTCCTGACATCATAAGTGCTGCTAATGTTGAAAAACAGCTTTGTACTTTAAAAGAAAATGTTTTAAAAACAAGCGCAGGGAATCCTCAACTTAAGACTGTAATTCACCCCCAAATTTCTGTGGCTAAGCAAGACAGTTGCAGAGTGCCCCATTTTACGACCTTCCTTGCCGCCTTTATTAAGCACATCCCCGCAGTCGTTAAGTCGTTCCCATGGCCGTTAAGTGAATCTGGTCAGAAGGTCGCAAAAAAGGGGATCGCAGGGACCCTGGGACGCTGCACCCGTCCTAAATACAGTCGGTGGCCAAGCGTCTGAACGTTGATCCTGTGGACATGCGGCAGTAAGTGTGAAAAAAATATATGTCCCTGGGTCCCTTTTTCCACTGCCGTTGCAACTTCAAACTAAAATGAATCTGGTTGTTAAATCAAGAACTACCTGTCCTTTTAGCCGTCGGTACGACTTTTTCCACTAATCTGATTTTTTTTTTGTCTCTTTTTTGTCTCTCCTTTCCTTCTTTCTTTCTTTCTTTTTCCTTCCTTCCTTCCTCCAGTGATCCTTTTCTGTATGGCAGCCTTAATATTCCCCATAGGATTTTACATCAACGAAGTGGGAGGCCAGCCCTATAAACTTCCAAACAACACCGTGGTGGGCTCATCCTACGTACTGTTTGTTTTATCTATTTTCTTTACGATAGTGGGACTTCTGTTTGCTGGCAAAGTGTGTTTACCGGGCTGACAACCGTCTCTCCATCCTTTTTTGTTGTTTTTTTTGGGGTGGGGTGAGTTACGGTCACGAAGGAGAATAGCGACGCCGTCTGGCGCATCCAAGGGGAGATGCTGAGGTCAGGCCGCCGTGGCAGTCTTACCGGAACGAGGAGGTTTCTCTGTTCTCACTATGCACTTTGGATTTTTTTTAAAGAAAACTTTTATTATTATAATTATAATTATTATAATTATTATTCCTTTTTACGGAGAGTCTTTCCCCCCCTCCATAACCATAACCAAAACCGAACAACCACGACTCAACTCGTCAGCATCTGGACGTGGTCAGGTGTGCACTGTGATCGGACCTCGTGTGGAAGGGGGAAAAAAAAACAAAAAACTCTTTTCTGCACTCAACAACAGCATTATTTCCTTTGGTTTTTTTGGTTTTTCCCTTCCCCACCGCCCCTCCAGTTCCCCCGACTCCTTCCGCACCACCGTACTGTACCCCCTTCTTCAAAACGATGTGACAATATTGAAAGTCTCAAAAGTATTTATGCACTTTGGTTGAACGGGCGTTTTGCCAAGGGTGGGGCTGGGCCTCACCCAACCTTTAGAGATTTAGCCTCTTCCTTCTGTGATAGGCAAGAAGCATTTGCCATCAATCCTTCCCCCTTTCCCCCCCCCCCCCATGTTAAACACCCCCACGCACACAAGTAATCAAGTCTCATGTTAGCTGCATCCTGAAGCTGGTAGATCAAAAGACATTTTTGGGGAAATCTGTTACGAAGATCCGTCTGCTCGCCACCCTCGCTCATGGTTACCACCTCCCGATGACTCCAGGTGGGGCTGAGAAATTCTTCCATATGTATTTATATGTGTGTGTGTGTGTAGGTGTGCATGCATGTGTGTGTGTGTGTGTGTGTATTTATATGTATGATGCAGTACACCGAATGTCTTTGTATGTGTATTCACACACAAGCACGCACATATGCATACATGCTGACCGACATAAGCGAAACACTGTGGTGTGCAACACTAGGGCTTGCAAAGGAGAAAGGAAGGAAGGAAGGAAAGGAAGGAAGGAAGGAAGGAAGGAAGGAAGAAAGGAAGAAAGAAAGGAAGAAAGAAAGAAAGAGAAAGCCATTTCTTCGAAGGCCGCATCAGTGAGAAAGTCTTCAGTATACCTCATTCGCTGTAGCAGCCCTTGCTTTTGATAATTTTTTACAATAGATACCAACAACTCCATGCCTTCCTAGGTGGAATTTTAAGCTAAGCTTAAGAGGGTTGCTCCTCCACCTCCTCCTGTTTCTTCTCCTTCCCCTCCTCCTCCTCCTCAGTCTCCTTCATTTGAATCTTGATGATCAAAGATGAAATCATGTCTTCTTTTTGAAGGCTCTGGTCCCAGCGGTGGGAAGTTCAACCCAACAATTTAACACATAATTTTAAAGCAGTGTAAATCGTTGGGGGCCTCTCCTCTTGTAGAGGTCTTGTTCCTTACATCATGGTGGGGTTTTGGTCCAGATAATCTGCCACAAGCATCTCCGATACATTAGACCCCAAACAGCACCCAAAAGCTACAGCAAAGCAAGCCCAAACACTTTGAAAGTATTATTTCTTCTGTTATGTCACAAAAGAACAAGGTGATTATTGGATAAGGCAGGGTGTTGTTGTTTTAAATGGCCTGTCTCTTTTCAGAGGCCTTTGCAAGTAATACCTTTCTCTTTCTTGACAGATACTCTCAGAAAATAGTATCGCTAATATTTAGATGCAGGCCTGACTCCTCGGTTTATGTCCGACACTCTGCCGTTCAGCCCCCTGAAACCAAAACTTGGCGCACAGCAGCAGGAAGGAGGCAACACACACATCACCCAAAGCATGCTAAGCAGCGCTATAAATCTGTCGTGCTGGATGCAACCAGGGATGGGATTCAGCCAGCTCGGACTGGTTCGAGCGAACCGGATGTTAAATTGACACCTGGTTCGTTGAACCAACTGGCTGGCCCCGCCCACTCCGTCCCTCCCAGGAGCCTCCACGTGGCCCATTTTGGATGCAGGTAAGCGCAGGGTCCGTGTGGAGGCTCTGGGAGGGGGAAAAACGGGCCCGTTTCCAGCTTCTGGAGGGCCTCCAGATGCCAGGGAAGGCTGTTTTCGCCCTCCCAGAGGCTCAAGGGAAGCCTCCGGACCCTGGGGAAGGTGAAAAACCGGCCCTTGCGGAAGTTCCGGTAGGCCACGCCCCCCATGGCCACGCCCCCCCATCAACCGGGCAGCGAACGGGGTTGGTGGGATTTTTGAATCCCACCCCTGGGCGCAACGGCCCTTTTCTTAGAAACCCCTGTGGCAGCATTCCAGCAACCCTCCATTCCAGCCAATAACTCCGAGACAGACATCTCTCAAAAGATTGTTTTACTTAGATAGTAACTGGCACGTCTGTGGAATCCTGGAATCTGAAAGTGTTTGGGCTTTCTTGCAATATTTAAAACTACAAATCCAATCCCCCCCCTCCCCCCTTGGCCGTCATCACATCACATGGCCCAATCACGGTCTGTCCCAAAGTAAGATTCCTAGTTCATTCTGCACCATACTCCATGACCTTGAACTAACAAAAGAGTTTTATTTTGTCTACTTAGAGCTGCTCAATTGAATCCCCCTCCACCCCACTTTCTCGGGCTACGTGGCAGCGTGGGTGCATCGCATCTCAATATGGCTTCCAAAGCTGATACCCTGCACCTGAGAATTTTAGCTCAAAAGAGTTGAGACCCTCCCTCGTTGCTTGCAGGCAAAGGAATTGCTGAGGGCTTCCCCTGCCACACAGTGGGAAAGATAAGATTCCCTGTTGCAAACAAACCAACAAACCCCTGCAGACCAAAGGATTCTCACTTCCATAGTGTAGGGTTTTATTTTTAGGAAACCTATTGTGGTTGAAGGAAAAGACTACTGAGGTTGGCTTGGCCATCGTACTGGATGGGTTCCTTCCACCTTCTCAACGCCATGCAGGGATCCCCATTTGTTCAGGGCAGGTGGGCCTTTTGACTCCCTAAAAATGCTGGGCCAGGGCCCCACTCCCATCGATTCTTCTTTCAAAGGGTCAACGGGCCTTGCATGGAATCCATGAATCCATCCGTTGTTGGCGTCCATTTTAGCTTCGCTCAGGT